ATAAAAATTTACACTAATGTTCTAATCACCGCCTCCTTAATCAAATGTATCAATATCCCGCCTGGGCATTTTGTAAAAAATGCATTGGAGCAGTGATTCCGATTTTTTCTTAGTTACGGGGGTTACTAAGGAAAAACTGAATGATTTTTAATTATTAACGAAAAATAACGCAATTAATAAACGCTGGGAAGGAAGGATACAACAAAACAAGATACGCCAGGGAGAATTGATATTATGAGGTTGAACCCTTTAAGCCATAAAAGTGGATATGTCAAAAAATTTCCCCAGATTAAAGCGCCAACGGGAATCAGTTGAACTCACAAAATGCCCAGGCGAGAAAAAGATTATTTCTATGGAGACGGCGATGGTTCTAATGCAACATTTAGAAGAGCTGAAAGAACGTATTCGTTCAGAATGTAATAATATAGATCCTGAATTTATCATGAATGCAGTGGCAGGGTTTCCAAAATCGCTTGGGTTATTGTTTGGAACTGCAAGGAAAGCATTTTCAACACTTGCACTAATTATTAAATATTTTTTATGTTTTGATGCGTTCAATTTTTTTTTAATTAATATTTAATTACTTTGTTGTTTTTACAAGTTTGTCTTTTATTTATCGATATTAAAGCCTTTGCAATATTGGTTGCCTATGCCTGGATGAGCTAATCGTAATTGCGTAATCAACATTGAAGTTGACCCGGTTTTTTTTTAAAATATACATAGGGCTATGTATACTAATAAAAAAATGTCCCTGTATAGTAATTATGTATATTTTTTAAACTTTTACTAGAATTCATATTATCCAACTTTATAGTAGGAATTATGCATGGCTTACAGTTTACACATACTGAGTTAGAGACAGAGACATTTTTTTTAACCTAGTCCTATGTTCAGTATAATTTGGCGTTCTATGATGAACCTTTGACGTTACAGATTTAGCCACAGCATTTTTGTGGCATTCTCCATATACAGAGTGTTTCACATAACTTTACGAGGCTAGCGCCTAATGTACGCACCCAAATATATAAAAGTCACAGAACACTGGATACAAAAAATACACATTTAATTATTTAATTTTTGGAAACCCATGACAAAAGTTATTAAACTAATCACTGTTTCATTAATAGTCATAAACTGGAGTTTTTCAGAAACAATTATCATTTGTTCTATCAAGAGACGGCATGAATATGATTGTAGTTTATCTATCGTTAATCACTAACTATACTATATTTCAGTGGATAGTAGAATTCTCAACGTCACAATTTACGAGTGTACTCAACTTTTATGCACAACGAAGTACCCTTGACAAATACAGTGATCACTTTTTGACAGCATTTTGACATTTATTGACAATCTACAAACAGTTGGTGTTTTAATTAGTAAATCTTGAGTTTATTTATTTAAACTGATTTTAATGTGCTCGTTAACGGAAACTGACGGGACTACAATACATCCTATTTGATTTGGATATTTAAAATAACCCAAAACATGAGTGTTTGAATAGTATTTGAACGAGTTTTACTTAGCTCCAATTTTGGTTAAATAACTCAAAGGTATAAGAAAAATAGTTTTATTTTGAATTTACTCATAAAAAGTAATTGCAAACCTATCAGGCATAATCAACTCAGATAGAAGCATCTGCAGGCAACGTCAGTAGAATGTGGAAATTGCATCCAATAATATTCGTTCTTGCTCAAAACCAAAGAAAGGATCCACTTGGGTTTGCTTCCCCCTAGATAGGCCTGCTTGTGACTTATTCATAGGAGCAAAAATTTCTTTTAAATGATTTGATGAACTGCAGAACTATCGTCACAATAAAGAATAATTATGCTAATCCTCCAACATACCAACACCAAAACACGTTGTATCACAAACTCCTATCACTGAAGCACGAAACTAAATTTGTGATTGTTAACTATTAGTCCTTAACAAACCTTTGAAATTTTCCAAACGTGTTAAGAATTCTCCACCACCTTTAGTGTAAGAGGGTAGGGGTTTTTTTGGCCTGACCAGGGCCCACAGTTGGAACGAGTTAGTATTAAGAAAGTCTTAAAATAAGTAACCGACAAATAAAGTTATTGTTAAAAAATCGTGTGTTTTTACTGACAAAGAATATACAGTCCACAATTTACGTTACAAAAAGGTATGTAATAAAACAATCTTGTTATCCAGTATAAGTCAAATATCTACTAAATATTTGGAGGGTTTTCCGATTTTTAGTCAATCAACTAAACCACTGCACCACTAAGGGTTTCCTTGAAGCAACTGCGTTTCAGTTGGGAACAATAAGTTGTGAGGCAAATTACCCTTCTATGTACAAGGTGCAAGGTATGTTTCATAACAATTTTGTTAATTAAAACTATGGGTGTGGCTAAAATGTTTGTTATTATCAATAACGATCTTTGATTTATTAAGAAAAACCAACCTTTTGTGCAGCATTCAAAAGTTTTATTTGTAAATTGATAACTGCCACAAACACCATGGACATGATTAACAGATTCTAGCAAGAAGATGCTTTTCTTCTTACAAATCTTTCATATCAGAGGTTCGATCAACGTTTTGAACAAAATTCCTGGACTTGGGTTTGGTGTTACAACTTTTAAATTCATCGACACTTTTTTATCGGAGGTAATCTGAGATATTCACTGTTTCATCCAAAAACAAGCTTCGGCTTAAAATGTATTTTATTACTTGAATATTCTGAACAAAATACGAGATTGTGCCCTAAAATTTTATTAAACCCTAAAACCATCGTACATAACCTTTAAATTCAATGCAAGAGAAAAAAACAGCACTGCCACCTTTAAAAAATAAAATAAAAAATCATGGCTACGAGAGTCAACACAACTTTGGTAAAACCGCTAAAAATCCTGTTTATCAAATTCTACTATCAACTGAAATAGATAGTAACTAAAAACGTTGTAATTTTTGAAAGGGTGAACAAACTAGAAAAGATTATCCAATTTTTCAAAATTTGTAATCGAGTTCGTATCGGAATATGTATTATTGATTGCATCTAACAGGCGCAGGCCTCGTAAAATTATGTGAAACACCCTGTACAAAGATCATGCTAGTTTTTTTTGTCATTTGAGTACATTTCGAATTCAAAGGAAAAAAGTAAAATTGATGACACTGTCAAATTTAATGCATAACATATCAACAACTACTTTGATTTAAATTTAATAATTTAAGTTTTTCAAGCGCAACAAAAGTCAAGTTATCTGTGAGAATGTATTTGGAGTTGCGTCTGAAAATCAGTTAGGGTCTCTATTATAAATGACTCACCCTGTATATTTTTTTAGAATTTCGTATATTCTTGATGCTTTTACCAGAATTCCTCTTGAGTTTATTTGTTATTTACTAATTAAGTGGTTTTAAAAGATTTGAATATTAGGTATATTCTACCTGGCTCCATCATAATGTCTGATGGTTGGAGGGCCTACAACAATGTGAGAAACATCGGTGGAGACCTATATGAACATCAAGTGGTGATCCATGAAGAAAATTTTGTGGATCCCAATGATCCGAATGTTCATATACAAAATGTGGAAAATATGCGGATGCGTGCCAAACGCAAATTACGCAAGCAATTTGGTACTTCGGAGGTTCTTTTTACGTCATACCTCCATGAATTTAAATGGAGAAACCACTTTCACCAATCGCAAAATATTTTTGGTGAATTTCTCGTTTGCTTGTGGGAACAATATCCCCTTTAGTTCGAGGGCCATTACTAAATTGCCCGAGATAATTAACATCTAATAATTCACGTGGTGGATAAATAATTTTATTCCTTTCTAACTATTTTTGAATTTTTTTGTTTTCTAATTTACAACAAACTGTACAAAATTCGACGTTATAAGCTTGTATTTTTAACAGTTGGTGACTTATTTAGTGATAGAATAGATTGATTGTACAATTAGCATTTTTTCTTTATTCATTCTTTTTAAAGAACATTAAAGGGAGTTATGAGAGGGAATTAAAACTCGTCAAAGTCCCATGAGAATTATGAGTATGTTTATAGTTACCGTAAGTAAAACAATACAGGGCGATTCAGATAAGATAATGAGCCTGACGATCTGGCGATGCAACCCAAAAAAACAAATTTCATTTACGTTTCGATCAAATTTTAATTACGATTTGCATTTGCAATCCAAGTTATCTTATGTTGCTCTAATAATGCTTTGACAAGCAATTTATGATTCAAAAAAAAACTGTTTGCCTACCTTTAATGTTTCATTGTTTCATACATTTTGTATTGGGTTTACACCGAAAAGACTTCTCTAATTTCTCTACCATTCCGCGAGAACTGAATAGCACTAATAAATCGTTCTCTGCACTGATGTCAGAGTGACACAAGATGATAACTTGGATTCAACTTGCAAATCTTAATTAAAATTGGATCAAAGGCGTAAATGAAATGTGTTTTTTGGGTTGCATCGCCAGATCGTCAGGCTCATTATCTTATCTGAATCGCCCTGTATTTGACTATAATTATTACTTTAGGATGAAATAAATATATTTAATTATAAACTCATCGATTTTTTTATTATTTTTTATCTACATGACAATTAACGCTATTTTCGTCTGGTAGATGGTAAGTTGGTAATTTTTTGTTATTTAATAAATTATAATTGTAAATCTTGCTTGATTTAATACAAAAAATACATGTGAATCGACGCGCCAAATTGTAATAGATACCTGGCAACAATGCAGAGTATTTCTTCATGCGCCTGTGAGATGCGCAGTAGTAGCGACATAAACAACAAGATTACCAAAAAAAGAATTCTGTATTAGGTACACTGGATTCCCGTCACAAATTTGGAGCCAAAAAGCGCCCCTTTTTCGGGTACTATTGTTGTGCAAAGGTGTATGTTGGTTGCATAATTTAGTACGACTTGCAAGTACCCATAGCAAAGCCAATATGGCGGCACCAATTCTCCTTCCATCTATCGTTGTTCTTTGATTTCAACCAACTGGTCTAGATTAGGGTTGAACATTACCTTGATGTGCATGTTGACAGAGATCTTCTCGACTTGGATGAAGGAGACATGGAACAAGACGGCGACGACAAAGGCTGTGTTGAAAGACGACGATTAGAACGAGACCGCACGTGGTTGTATTTATTCAGCTGCTTCTTTAACTTCCACAGTTTCCTAGCTAACGTTCTTGCACTTTTAGAATGTCCCATTGTTTGTAGACCGCGAATATAATAATAACAAAAAACACAAAATTCTCACAGACGCGCTAATAAACGTTGTCTCTGACTCGGGCACAAAACACAATGGCGTCACAGAGTAGGTATTGTAGGCATCAGTAGTACCGATAATTGGTATCTGCTGCACCCGAGTGGGGAATAGAGGTACTACCAATACGCGCTATTAGTGTGACGTCAGCAAGGTACGTGACTGTACCTTTGAAGCTAAACAAATAAAAGTTTATTTCTTGAATCCTGGACGTGTGGGGAGATTGTTTCTGAGGAAATAGTAGCTATGAAAAATGTGTGTCGTTTCGTAATGGTTTTAACAATTGTAGTCAACATTTCTGTAATTTAATCTATTCTAACCTCACTTTCTGTGTACTTCAAAAATATATGTACAGCATTGCCAGAATGTTGCAAACGACAGGAGTGGATAGGTCGTACCAAAACAAAACAAAATAAAAAATATGAACATTTACATAATGTGTATTTGGCTGAGAATATAAATTTTACAAGTTTACAAGTAAATATAAATATCTAGTAAAAAAAAAATCTAGTATCAATTTGGTACTCTAGTACAGTTAGAGACAAAATACTTTGGTCGTCAATGTCACTTGAGTGACATTAAATTGTAAAGCATGCTTTAGGACTGTTAACCTTATTTTTAGCTACTGTCAATCATAGTTAACAAGTTTTTGATAGGAAAATATAATAGCTGTCATTACGTTAAAATTGTCATTCATTTTAACGTTAAAGCTTGAATTACATTAAAGTGTCAGAAAAGTGACGACCAAAGTATTTTGTCTCCAACTGTATCACAACTGGCAACACTGTAGGTATGTTTAGCTGCAGTACAGTCGCGTCTGTGACGTCACGTCTAATAGCCCGTATAGGGCTAGAATTTTTACCGATATTTCGTTGATACATTATTCTCGTTTTCATTTTAATGTGCATCAAAGTAGTTGTTGAAAAGGATTATTTTAAGGTGGGAACCATAACGATCTTAAACTCAAACTTCCCTAAAAACTATTTTTACAAATAAATGTGTACAGTCGAACAAAATGAAAATGACGCCTCAATACCTAAACCAGCCTCTGCTGGGTGCCGACCCTTCTAACCGCAAGCAGGCAGGGTCGTAAATTATCGGATTGCAAACTTGACATAGTTTCAAGATAAATTTCTTTAGGGGACGGCTTACAGAAAGCTTAATTCAAAATTCAAGTTTAATTCAAAATTAAACTAATTCGAATTAAGTTGCCATTTATTTTGCATTGACAAAGGTCAAGTTAAATGAAAGTGTATTTTTTTTAATGAAAAATTTAACAAACCATTTCTTGAAGAAAATTATGCATTAATTAAACATTGACGAATAGACAAATCATTATTTAATAATTTTTTTAACTACTTTTCAAAATAAAATTATTTTATAAATCAATTAAAATACAAAGTGATTCACAATGACAGTATATGTTGGCAATCCTGACAGTTTATCAAAAAAATGTATTACATTAATAATAATTTGTTTTCTTTGTAAATTGTAAATTTCGTCTTATTAATGCATAATTTTCTTTAAGAAATGGTTTTTGTTAAATTGTGTATACAGGTGCTCCAGAACTCGCGCCCCAGAGAAAAATGTCAAGTGCCGGCGGCAATGGGTCGCCACAAAGTGCAGCCGAAGAAGTAACTTTTGTTTGCATAAGAAAGTTATTAGACCCTTAATTCCGCCAATCCCAGAAGGGCACCTCAGGGTGGAATCGAAAAATTATATCTGTTGCTGGGTTACAAAAATAATAACAATTTGCCTAGAATCTTCAATAAATAGTTGGTCTACTGTAATTTTCACATCTGTCATGTGTTGACATAACACGTTATTTTCGAATATTTTTCTCCCTGAAGAGGTTGTACACGAGTGTAATGGTTTGAATTTGTGTTAGATGTCAATTGTGTGGTTTAAGTTAATAAGTTTTAACCATGAGATTAGCCGCTGATTATTTGGAGATAATAACCACTTTTGGAAAGTGTTGGCGTAACGCCAGGGAGGCAGCTAGGATATTTTCCGAACGTTTTCCTGACAGAAATCGCCCATGCTATAAGGTTACATTGAGAGCCATTGCCAAGGTGCAAGAGCGATCAAGTCCTACCAGACAGAACAGAAATTAGAGGTGTTCCCAGAACGGCGCGCATAGTTGAAAATGAAGAAGCTTTTCTTGATTTTTTAAGAGGGCACTAAGTAGATGCATCAGAGAAGTTGTAGTCATTATAACTGACATACTCGTATTAGGGCAGAGGAAATTTCAAATGCTTTGTTTCCGTGGGCATTTCAGCAATGATTTCCAGTAAATTTGTGGACTGTTGAGGAATATCAACTAATTTCAATGTCAATATTGCAATACTCTTGTGGATTGTTTAATGAAAAAGAAAGCAAGGGGTCTTAGTGCAATGTGTGTTTTTAGGTTACAATTACATTACCGAACAAAAATACCTTGGTAAATCTACAATTATGACAGTAAAAATTATCCTAACCTGTTTTGTTCAAGCACAAATTTTTATAAAAAGTACATTTTTCTGTTAGTTTTGCAATAAAGTTAAGAAACTGGCGTACATTTTTGTCTTTCTGGTTAATCTAACTCGCTTCTAGCATTAGTTTTCGGCTTGTTGTCTGTGTCATATCGAAGAAAAAGTTAAGGAGGAACAATGCTTCTGAAGAAAACATCTAAAAGTATTAAAATACTTAGTTGTTGGTTCATCGCAATGGAAATCGAGTTTTCAAACATTTTCAACGATTTCGTCTCATTATACTTGTGCACAGCATCTTCAGCGAGAAAAATATTCGAAAATAGCGTGTTATGTCAAAAACATGACAGACAATTACAGTAATCCAGCTATTTTTTAAAATTCTGGGCAAATTGGTATTATTTTTGTAACCTAGCAACGGATATAATTTTCCAATCACACCCTGAGGTGCCCTTCTAGGATTGGTGGAATTAAGAGTCTCTCAACTTTCTTATGCAAACAAAACTTACTTCTTCAGCTGCACTTTTTGGCGACTCATTGCCGCCGGCATTTGACATTTTTCTCTGGGGCGCGAGTTCTGGCGCACCTGTATATAAACCTAAACATTTTTATTTAATTTAAAAGTATTACAATTATCAAAAAATAAATTTTGTATCAAAACTAAAATATTTGAAATAATTTTATCGTTTTTTTCTTAGTTTAATTAAATAAAGAATTTTGATTTGTTTTCAATGACAATTACAAAACTAATAGAAAACTTAGGGCCGGTTTACAGAACGTGTAAATCGCAATTATATTTTAATTCGCGATTAACTTGACATTTGTCAATGCAAAATAAATGGCAACTTAATTCGAATTAGTTTAATTCTGAAGTAAATTTTAATTTCGCTTTATGCTCAAAGAATTAAACCACTCGCGGTAGAGGCATACGTGGAATTAAACCTTCTTCGCGCAAATAAACAATGGTTTAATTCATTTGTTGTTTTACATAAAATCTAATTTAAAATAGAGAAAGCCTATTTCGTTCAAAAATTATGTTAATTAATTTTATTTTGAAAAACAGTTTAAAAAAATATTAAGTGATAATGATTTGTTTTTTGTCAATGTCATTATTAATGCATAATTTTCTTTAAGAAATGGTTTGTTAAATTTTTCATTAAAAAAATTTAATATTTCCTTTTAATTAATTTGACGTGTCTCAATGCAAAATAAATGGTAACTTAATTCGAATTAGTTTAATTCTGAACTAAATTTTTATTTCGCTTTCTGTAAACCGGCTCCTAAAGGAATTTATTTTGAAACTACGTCAAGTTTGCAATCCGATAATTTACGACCCTGCCTGCTTGTGGTTAGAAGGGTCGGCATCCAGCACGGGCTGGTTTATTGAGGCGTCATTTTCATTTTGTTCGACAGTACCTCAGGTAGCAAAAATAATTAAAATCAACAACGTAATTCACATAGCGAAGCAAGCATAAGATTTTTGTCATTATTGATGTGATTAGATTTGTTCTGAATGACATTAATGACATTTTTTGTGTGAATCGGCCTTTAAATTAAAGATTCATTTAGACTACTACAACCAACTTGATGCACATTAGCTAATATGAAAAAGAGTATATTAACCCTAGGATACAACCTACAGCAGATTTACATAACGTGGGTGAAAAGTACTACTCTAGAGCATTTTGACGTTATTTTGACAACTGATATTTGAATTATGTACAGGTAATTTGTCACGTTTATGTCATTTTGACTTAAAAAATAGCGTCACTGACAGAAAAGTTTAATTGTCAAATGTCAGTCATGAATGTCACGATGACACTAAAAGGTAGTTTACACTTTTACAGTGAACTTTTTGAAGTGACAGAAAAATACTGCCCGAAATTTTAATTCCGTAACTGTACCTAAGTTGTATTATTGTTAAAATTAAGATTGTTTATTTAAACAAACGCTTTATTAACATTTTTTACTTTTATATCTATAGTCTATACAGAGTGTTTTTTACAAATAGGTTTGCTACTTGTACAGTCGAACAAAATGAAAATGACGCCTCAGTAAACTAGCCCCTGCTGGATGCCGACCCTTCTAACCACAAGCAGGCAGGGTCATAAATTATCGGATTGCAAACTTGTCGTAGTTTCAAGATAAATTCCTTTAGGAGCCGGTTTACAGAAAGCGAAATGAAAATTTAATTCAGAATTAAACTTATTCGAATATACAATATACAGGTGTTCCATTAAAAAAATTAAAGTTAATGACACTACCAGTGAAACAAAAAACAGCATTAATTTAGCATCTATACCAAGCGATAGATGACAAAAAATGTTCGACTTTGTTCCAAGAAATATTGTCGTAACTTTAAAAATAATGGAGTAGTTATGGCTTCGGGCATTTTTCATAATACAGCCTGTATAAAAAGGGGGGACTTGGTGTTGTAGAAAAGTGATAATTGTAACAAAATTGGACTACATAAAAAGTTAAATGACAGGTTTGTGGGAAAATTGAGACAATCTTTGAAGCTGACAGAAGTGTGAAAGAAATACAAGGGTACAAAAATTTCAGTACTTTTAGTACCTAGATCAAAACAACAAGCCAAAATACATGTGTGATATTTAATTCGTCTTTTATTTAATAAAGTAAAAACGAATTTTAACAAAACTTTAACTGTTGTTCTCAACAGACCCATTTAGCAGTAATAATAGTAACACTTTGTTTAAAATTATTATAAAAATTTACTAAAATATGGTGTAAAACATCAACAACAAAATTATATTAATTACTAATTGGTTTTCTAGGAGACAAAACCATGCTTCTTGGCGTAAAAGTATCACATGGCAGATCTTGTTTTTTATGAACCCTTCTTACATGAGACCTTAAATTGTCTCTCCTCGACGATCGGTAACTACAAAAGGGACACAAATGCGGCTTTTCTCCTGTATGCATTCGCCTATGTTGGATGAGCTAAAAGTAAAGTTGTAATTAAAAGTAAATTCAACCCAAACACAGTCGAACCTTTTTCAATTGAATGGTTTTAAATTTACAAATATCACAACAAAAATACTTGTCTTGTTTATGCTTCATCATGTGAATCGAGAGAGTCTCCTCGCTTCTCCTATCTTTGCCACAAACAGGACACGAGAGGAGTTTTTTGGTCGATTTGTCTTCGCACCACCTCAAATGATGCAAAAACGCCTTTTCGGTGGTGCATGTGTAAGGGCATTGCTTGCACCGATATTCCTCTTTCGAGTACCTTTTATTTATTACAAAATTAAATTTTAAAACGAGTAAAAATTTCACTAACCTAACTCTTTGAATTGCTTTTTTCTGCTCAACATCCTTTTCACCTTTTTCGTCATCTTCAGGACTATTAATTTCTTCATCAACTTCATCTTCTTCTTGAATCGCCACACTACTCTCCGAATTAATTGAGGAACTTGTGTCGCTGGAAGTGACGTAAGGAGTAATTACTTGAATTCCTTCAATTAGCGGATTCGGTTGAAAACACACCGTCGTCGGATTTATCAAAATTTGGTTCCAAATCCCCGAAAATTCCATCACATTTGGGGCAGTTAGTTTCCTATTTGTTCGTTTTTGTACATTTCAAATAATATATTATATACATTATTGGAAAAGCCGAGATCACAGGAAGGAAATTCAGGTCAGGTGTGTCTATTTCATCTCGCAACAAGATGTTGTTTACAAGTGCGTGAATCGGGTTTTTTGAGGGATGGTCAAGACAATAAATAAAAAAGTGTAAACAGCGCCAAATTGGAATTGTAAGGGAGAAGAAACACAGTTTTGTGAAACTTGTAATATTGTAATTGAATCGATAATGTGTATTTATAATGTATTACAAGTTCTAGTACTTAACTTGGTACATAAAACAATGCAACATAGAACACAAGACATTTAAGTTGAATCGACTAAAATTAAGGATTTGGTCAAATAAACACACAACAACGAGGTCATAAATTAAATCCACTTTTAGAATGACAGAAATCTTTCTACTGAAAAATGTCTAAACAGTTTTAGTTAATTGTGAAACAAAATGCTTAAAATTCCCTTAAAACACTCAAAGGACAAGAAAGTAACAAATTAAAAATAAACATTAACCTACTTTACGCTGTCAATAACTATATTTGGGTCAATAAAAACTAAAACTAAGCTAATTGATTCCTGAAACTGTAATAATTTATTTCAGTTTATTTTAATATCATATTATTTAAATAGCTGTTTCTGTACTTATCCGCTGATTTGTAATTGTGGTTTGTACTATTTTTGACATCTCACGTTGTACATTTTTTTAATTTAGATTTCTAATATCAGGGTTTAATAAATAGATGATGTATATTGGTAGAAAGTGATGGAACTAGTTTTTTCATCTCGTGTACGTAGTTTCTCTCTTTTTACCGAGGGATTTCTTAAGTTTACCAAACCCTAATATGTGTTCAATTAAATTTTTATTCAAAGTGGACTGAAATTAAGGTGGCAACATTAATAATGTTAGATATACCTACAACTTAGTCATTTTCATAAATGATTGTCACAAAATTAAGATATAAGATTGTTCATCTACAGTCACGCGGTAACTTCTACCTACAATATTCAACTTCTAGTCACAGGCTACTTTAAACAGAAATTTAATTGAACGCATGATACAAAAACTTTATAACCTTCAAACTATAAGTAATCTCAACTGAACTAATAAGCGGAACATTTTAAAGTAAATTAATTGCTTAGAATGGCAGTTTATATGTGTCAAAATTGTAACATACATAAGAGTAAAAGTACGAGTTTAAAATAAGATTCAATATTGTCAATTCAAGCTGTCATTCTTGACCACCCAGTAATTTGAATTTAATTTGAAAAATCGTCAGTGACATGAACAAAAACTTAACTACATATGTTTCATTGTTTTAACGAATTGTTTAAATTAATTGATTTAATGTAAGTAATTAATTATTCAACTTTTTTGAATATAGAACGGTCTGTCATCACATGAGATGAACTTTGTATACTATTTGTTGCAAATTGCTAGGAATAGTCAAGTACAGTGCGATCAAAAAGTCTTTCAAGCAAGCGTAGAAATTTAAAACGTATGTCTGTGGAAGATAAAATGTCACAATGACAAATGAGAAATGTTAAAATATTTTTTTATGTAAATTATTACAGGAAACCGTGGTGAACGATTTTCATGAATAAACATCAACAAAATCTTATTTTAGTTTGTTTTGAGACGTTTCATAAAATAATTCAATTTAATTAGCTCAATGTTTTAATTTTTATAAAATAATTTTTTGACATCTAGATAACACACGAACTGCCATGCAACATACGTCCTCAACTAGGACGCCTACTTGCTAGAAAGACTTTTTGATCGCACTGTACAAACCGTCATAAATCATGTGTTTCTAGGAAACAGTCAGTGTGATATACTAAATAAAAGTCATTTTCTTACCAATTAGAGAAATGTTACCATGCGACCAATTCAAGTCTAGCACATAAACTCTATTTACAGAAAATAGGAACAGACCTTAATTTTATATTCAAATATAGTTATTGACAACATATATTTTCCCAACTTGATTCATTTCATGTAAAAATATTTTTTTAATGTTTGATAAATTATTTATAAAATCGATTTTATTTGTGAGCTCGTTGGTTTTAACCAATACTTGTGCCTTCACCCCTCGACTAACGGCACATAAATCGAACAAATTGCACCAATCGAATTAAAATTGAATCGAAGTCTTATCTACGTTAAGCTTTCAGCTTCTATATTTGTGTGAAGTTTCATTTATATTTATAATAAAACAATGTAGTAATTATGATATGGATTAGCAAAACTATCTAATAGTAGTTTTAAATACAAATTCACTTATTGAATTGTGAACATTTGCACAACGTTTTGTGCTTTTTAAACCAAACGACTTGCATGATTTCTAGAATTTTGCTAAAAAATTTTTGTCTCATGTAACACAAATCGGTTCTAAACACCATGCAAGTGGATTACTAACCATTCTAATAAAATTTTTACATTTCAAGCAAATTGCATAATATGATATAGGTATTTTAGTATAATAGGTAACCTGTAAGTTATTTACAATTATTTAAACACGAAACAAGAACGAATGGCTTGTACCGGGCGCAACCAATTAGTGTAGTTTATAGTTTGATTTATATTTAGGACGGCAATTCTTTCTTTTGCCTAATCATTATTATCAAATTAAGGAAATTTAGAATAATTTTAGTTGGTACGAACCATCCGAAATATAAACAGAAAACTTTTTATTTTTTAAGTCATTCATTCGCAACTATTTAAGCACAGAGTGTACAGCAAAAACTTTCTCGACTAGCATTTGTTGCAAATTGCTGTGGAATTGTTGACAGTTATTGCGAGAGAGTCTCAGCTGAAACAGCCTGTAGATATTTTTAAAATTTTATTTTGACACTAATAACTGAAAATGATCATTAGTGGGAGATTAATGTTTCTAAGGCACGATTTCTGGTACGATTTAACTCGAAATAAATTTAATCGTTTTGATTAATTACAAAGATGGAGTTGATCTGATTAGTGTTCCTATAAAAATTATGGAACCGATGAAAATTTAACTGAAGATAAATCGTACTAGAAACTGGGCGTAAAAGTAATAAAATTAACAAAGTGTTCCATCAATGCGACACCATTTAGATAAAGACATTAATTAAAATCTAAGGAACCAACAAAACTATACTTTTTGTAAGAATATTGTGATTTGCCCCTAATGATTTTTCTTTATGATTTTAGTGTTGGTAGTAGGAAAAATGCGTTGTTCAAGTCTGTACTAGGTGTCGTTTTGGTGGTACATCATTTAAGTATGAAGGTATTGACTATTTGATAATCGGTATCTGGTCTAAGATCTACATGGTGATCCGGCTAAATTCTGCATTAGAAGTATTGGGAGTTCTGACAATGATATTTAATCTACAGTGTGTCCCCGGATAGAAAAAAACGACTTTTGTAAAAAGATAAAAAATTCTCGATTTAAATTTTTATTTTTTGAGGACTAATTTCTAACATAATATCAGTTTTGAAAAATCAAGTATGCTCTGCTTTGAAAATTTTCAAAAAACCTATTTTTGTGTGTTTAAAGTGCCTTTTGTGTGGCCAATATGACAAAAAGTTATTAAGAAAAGTTGTTTAAAATCAACATCTAAGCCTCTATACAAAATTTCAAAATCATCGGACTACTATAATTGTTTCATTTTTTTTCCAAAATAATTGCTTTTTATTAACAGATACGTCATTTAATACTAATAATCTAAATGTAAATCAATTTTATTCGTAATAAAAAAACTGTTAAAAATAAAATTCTTTTGTTTGGGAAATAAACAAAAAAAATTAAAAATCAAAGTTGGCCGATGATTTTGAAATTTGGTAGATATATAGGCCCAGATGTTGATTCTAAACAACTTTTCTTAATAACTTTTTGTCATATTTGCCACACAAAAGGCACTTTACTCTACACAAAAATAGTTTTTTTGAAAATTTCCAAAGCATATTATAGCATACTTGATTTTTCAAAACTAATATTATGTTAGAAATTAGTCCTTAACCAAGCAGGGCTAAATCTCAAAAAATTAAAATTTAAATCGAGAATTTATTATCTTTTTATAAGAGTCGTTTTACCTATCCGGAAACACACCATAAAACTAGGTCCTGCTCGATGAAAATATTTTCAAGATGGTGGTACCTACTTTGGCGTGTATCAACTTTATTATTTTAAATAGAAAGCTACCTATGTTATTTATTGCGTTTTTGTATTCCTAGAATTATTATATGAAAGTTATTTATCGAACTTTCTATACCTAAATTTCGCCGTTTTAGAGATTTTTAAATTTTTGTAAAATTTTTGGATTTGAACCTTTTTTTCAAAAATCGATAACTTTGCAATTTTTAACTATTATGAAATCATAATGGGTGAAGTTGTTAAATAATTCGGGCTCTTCTTTATCAAAATTTATTAAACGATGCTACATGTTTCGATCATTTTTAAATGGCCGTCCTCAGGCATTAAGTTACAGGTATAAATTATTTTTCTTCACCATCATAAAATAAAATATTTTGAAAATGGTTAAACTTTATTGTAGAGAAAGCTGATAAAATCAAATTCACTTGAGTAATCTAAAAACGCAATAAAAATCCAGTTTTCTATTTAAAATAACAAAACTGATACCCACTTCGGGTATATCCACACGTGTCGCCATCTTGAAAATATTTTTATTGGGAGGGTCTCACCGATTATAGCTGTATACAAATTTTTTGTCAGAACTCTAAATACTTCTAATGTGGGGTTTAGGTGAAACACCCTGTATGTAGTCATGCATTCAATAGTAATAATAATTTAGTTAATAAGTAATGCGTATCGTACACGGCACGAAAGGCGTATTAATCACTGTTGGTCACGGCTTCAATAAGAGGACTAATTTTTATACAATATAAGTTGGGTTAAAGTGGCAATGTTAAAACGCAGTTGAAGGTCCAACCGTCGAGCCTCGTACCGAAGGGCCCGCCTAGTGAACGGATATTGAAAGACGCTGTGCTCGACTTTGAGCTATATTATCACCGATAAACTAAATTTAATCGTAGAAGGTGTCCAAAAATACGACAATTTCAACCACAGAGCCGTCGCTAATACTGGCCGAAATTTACATTTCGCGAATTCTAAAAGAGTCCAAAAAAATGGTAAAGCTTCCATCCACGAGAAGTGCGCGTTTGTGACCAGAAACACGGCAGCGAAGGCGATCAGCAGGAAAAGAGGGGCGCGGCGCCCGTCCTCATGGGTGTGCCTCGAAGACAAGCCCCGGGTGGCACTAAACCCCACGCACGGCCATGAGGAGGAAGCCCTGGATCAGTCGATTTCGTGGTTGTCCATGAAGTGGGTGCGGACCTCGAGGTGGGCGGCCAGGTCGAGCACCAGGTGCTGGAGGGATGGGTGCTCCAGGAGTTCAGCTTCCGGCAGTGGTGGTTGGCAGCGGGGGCGGTATTGCCGGCCGCGGAACGCGCGGTGGAGGTGTAACACCACGTCGCAGAAGACGTAGCGAAGAAGGAGGAGACGTAGAAAGTCGTCACCGAAAAATTGAAGATATGACGAATCTACAAGAAATTCTTAAAATTTTTTTGGAAAAGAAGCATAAAACGAACAATTTAAGCTAGACTAGAGAACACACACGAGCTAAAACCAACATACCTTCATCATACTCACCGACTCTTGATCGGGTGAAAAGGCGAGAAGCTTCGGTGACGAATCGGTCGACGAAACTTTGACAACGCTCCCAATGGTGGATCGGAATGCTTGTCAAATTGCAACAGTAACAAAATGCGGTCAGAGGCGAGTGAAGGAACAGAGTGAATAAAGAACCGTTGTGTTGTTGATCTGGAAAAAACAATGAATTTTGAAGAAATATTAGACAAATTAACATTTTTTAACCACTTTGAATATCATGAGGCTGGGTGATTACAAAAAAAGAGAAATTTAATGAGAACGTGGAAAAGTAAAAATGGAACCTCCGTTAAATTTATAATAACAAAAAGATCTTTTTAGTAAAAATCAATTGTTACTAAAATTGTTACAAATAAACAAAAATAAAAAATGTGTACCACTTTTTCAGCTTTAAATTAGAAGAATAATTATTAGGTATCATCTCTCCAGACATGTTTTTTCCCAACATTGTGAGTGGAAAACTAAAATACTATTTAGCAAAAAAGTAAAATAATTGTGATTAAAAAATGAACATTAGAGAACGAAACAATGGATAGACTTGAGAGATGTAAAAAAAAATCAGTTTGGAAAAACTAAAAAGTCGGTGATAAAAATGAAACTGTAAAATCAAAGACTTATAAAACTGAAAATGAGAAAACTATAATAAATGAAGAAACAGAATTAATAAACCGAGACTTTAAAAGTAAAAAAAATTAAACAAAATGGAAGAATTTATAACAAAAAAAAACTGAAACATGGAAATATTGAAACGAGTAATTTGATGGGTAAGATATACTCGTATAAGCTTAAAACAAAATAGCACATACCTACTCGTATTTGCAAATTCAGAATTGAATATGAGATTATATGAGAATAGGTCAAAAACTATAGCAAATAAGTATTAACAAATGGGTTCGTTTTATTAAGTTTGAGAAGGTGAATTCAAATTTGCAATAAAAATGGGTACTTTTCATTTAAAATTTTAAAGTTGGCGCTAATTTTTCGTAGTTCCGGAAGTTCAACTACTTTAAAAATAATTTAGTTAAATTGAGATTTGTCGATTTTGGTCACAAACAAAATTTTAAAGCCGTAGCTACAATTGAAGTTGAAAAGTTAGGTGTAGGCCCTACAAAAATCACCCTGTATATCGGAAATTATTTAGAAATTATAAGGTACTTTTTAGAAAGACAAAAATAATTCAAAATACAAATAATTATGAATACGTCTAGCAGAAAGAAAGTTGTAAATCCTGGTATACTCTATTTAAAAATTAGAACAACTTTTAAAAGAAGTTATAATGTTTGTATTACCACAGTAAATAATAATTTACTTTTCAAAATTTGTATTTCTTAGAATTATCGTAATTAATTTGCAGCTAGCTTAATTATTTTGAAATTATAGCGTACAGTGACGGACAGTGAATTTTGTTCGCCCCATTTCCCTGAACTCACAAAAATTTACTGTAGTCTGTGCTTTATTGTCACCATAACTGACATTCAAATACGAATTGTCAAATTTAAATTCTTATTCATTTTGGACCGGATTTTCAACCTGAAAATGAATTGGCACTATACCTCAAGCAATGTAGGACAAACATTAATCAAAATTCTGAAACAAGGTTGCAAAAACCTAAAAACTTGGATTACTGAAGTTTTATGAAATTTGTAACAGTTTTTAACTTTCGCGTGTGATGGTAACTGACATTTTATAGGGCGAAATTAATTAGACACATAACGCGTAGTGGGGTGTGTTAATAATTGAGCTCTGTGAAATAGTTGTTAACACACAAAATTTGTATTAAGTTTTTGGCTACTTTTATTATAAAATTAGAAATACTTTTATCCACAATCACTCTATAAAGAGACTTTATTCCACACTTTAGATGCTATCAAGTACCAGTTTATCCACTAGTGGAATAAAGTAACTTTATTCCACTGTTAGTAACCAGCGCACTACTACGTTTAACCGAAAGCACATTTGGCGTGGCGTTTAAATGTCAGTTTAATTTTTAATTAAGTTTATAATAATTTGGGCCTGTGATTGTGGATAAAACGTTATATTGCAGTCGTGTGTTAGTCGCGTTTTATCCACTTAAGAAAATTAACCGCTCGAACTGACGTTCTCGCGTTGAACATTCTTGCGTGGATAAAACGCTACCTAACACACTCTTACAATAAATAACTATTTATTAACCGCCAATGACAATTGACATGGTCACGTCAAAAGAATAGTGATGGCTGTGACATCATCATAGTAGAGGATACGAATTAGGGTCGACCTTCACCCATCTGCTTACCGGATGAAACTTATTTTTTATCAAATTTAATATGCAAAAGGAATATATCGCGAATGCGTTGCCTAAAAAAATATGTTCAAGGATATGATTTATTAAAAATACAAAAATTAATAATTTTTTATTACTTCACCTACTTGCTTACCAGAAAAATTAAATACCAATCGAAAGTAAGCCTAAGGAGTATGTAAAAATTGAGTTGCCTACCTTTTTCTGTTCATTACTATTGGGTTGCCAGGTAATGAACAGGTGAGTCGATGTAGTAATTTGCACCGATCTGCTTGCGCAATAAATTATATATGAAAATAAAGATAATTTTATTGCGAACACGGTGGTATAAGGTTGCCTGCGAAAAAACGTTCATGAATGAGGGTTGCCGAGCTTTGAAATTGAAAAATCGGAGCAAATAAAGATAATCAAAAGTTGTAGATGTGCCAGTATTGATAATGATAAACGTATTGTCATGTAAAAAAAAATATACCAATAGAAAAATACTTAAATAATGTCAAATTCAAAATTAAATAGACCATCTAATTCGCAAGATTCGTCAGCCTTTTGTTTTTCATTCATCTCAACAATATCCTCTAATTTCAGAGGCGTTTTTGGTCTCCAACAAATCCTGTTGGTTTAATAAAAAAACATCTAAAAACCAACGGCAGTTTTGAGGCAGCAGTTTCACACAATCGGAGTCAGTTGCATGGAGCCACGTGGAATTTACATAAATAGTACGCAAAATTTTTTGTTGTAGCGAATCCAGCACGGTGGTATAGACCGCTGAAGACTGCGACAGAGCAGGCTAGAACGCTATTGGGTCATTAAAAAAATTACGGAGTTTTTGAGTTTTTGAAAGTGAGCGATAGTAAAATCGTAAAAATAGCCAATTTACTTAATGAGGTAAAACGCTTAAAATATGATTTTTTAGATGTAAAATTGGGCGCTGAACACGATGCAACAGGTTAAAATACACTGCGATGCATAGTTTTTGAGATATTAGCAATAGACCGCACTGCGTGTGAAAAATAGACCAAAATCTCGATACAAATAAAAAAATTATTTTCAAATTGATCCATATAACGTTCTTTATATTTCTAGAGGTCTTAAAAACTCAAAAAAGTGCATAAAATGTTATTGAGTCAAGTTTAAAAAATTACGAATTTTTTGAGTTTTTGAAGATGAGCGATATAATTAGTTAGAGGTGTTTTGYAAGCTTTAACAAAAAATCTTGTATACACCACGTACGGAAAAGGTTTTAGGTAACTCCTCTCATTAAAGACTCGGCTCCTACGTCGCCTCGTCATTAATTACGATTTGTCCCCTAAAACCCTACTTTGCGTACTTGATACATAAATAGCTATTTTAACATGACAATATGTTTATCATTATCAATATTGGCACATCTACAAATTTTCATTTTTTGATGAGTTTCAGTTTTTTTATTAGCAAATTTAAAAATATAATGATTCATCGTTGTGTTATGGAACAACGTGAAAACATTAAAAAATAATGAAAACTGAAGAAGTTAACAAAATAAGTTTGTAGTTCCACACACATTTTTTCAAAGTTTTCTCCAACGTCCCACTGAGTTTTAACCTCTCTGTCGCACATCTTTATTTGCTCCGATTTTTCAATTTCAAAGCTCGGCAACCCTCATTCATGAACGTTTTTTCGCAGGCAACCTTATACCACCGTGTTCGCAATAAAATTATCTTTATTTTCATATATAATTTATTGCGCAAGCAGATCGGTGCAAATTACTACATCGACTCACCTGTTCATACCTGGCAACCCAATAATAGTGAACAGAAAAAGGTAGGCAACTCAATTTTTTCATACTCCTTAGGCTTCATACTTTCAATTGGTATTTAATTTTTCTGGTAAGCAAGTAAGTGAAGTAATAAAAAATGATTATTTTTTGTATTATCAATAAATCATATCCTTGAACATATTTTTTTAGGCAACCCATTCGCGATACATTCCTTTGCATATTAAATTTGATAAAAAATAAGTTTCATCCGGTGAAGGTCGACCCTAATTCGGATCTTAGACTATCACTAAATGGCGCTATTCCGATTTGAAAAAATATTCAAAAAAATATTTCAGTCATTCAGTAATTAAAAAGCTGTGTAAAATAGCATTTCCAAAAATAAGTTTCTAATTTACAAAAAAAAATATTTTATAAACGTGTTTGAAGGCTAATGTTTATTGAGAGTTTTTACCTGTCAATTGTATGTTAATTTGAGTTTACAGGTTAAGAAACCAAAAATGTTTTTTACCTTGGAAGGCCGGCGGAGTGTCTTGCGGCGACATCAGCGTGACCAGCGGCTGTCCAAAATACCTTGGAATGTGTTGAAAAACAAAACTATTATCCGAATCAACGACAACAAACAGCGGTCGCCTGGTAAACGGATATAAATCACCAGGATAAAGGCAGTGAGCTTCCTTCTGTTTCTTGTGCTCCCCATCTCTCCGACTACTCGTCAACACTCCCCCGAGGTCGTACCCCACTGAAACCAACTCTTAGTACCTCCACAACTCCCCACACCCCTACTCACTATCTTCCGGATGCTTCGTGGTGGAGAAACACCCATCGGAGGACAAATACAGCAGCAATGCCCCATTAGCCGGCAATTCTTTGAAGCCGCTAGCTAAAAACACAAGAACTTGGCTAAGAGTGGGTTTGTACAAAAGGTACTTGTGTGGATTTTCGCGTCTCAAGGGCCTTTCGCCGTTTTCGATGTAGCCCTTTTGGCCCGGGACGCCGTAAGGGACGCGGCCGGGGGCGGGAGACGCGTCGTAAATGTGATTGTAATCTTCCTGAGGTTCGCGTTCGAGAGTTTGAATCATGCGGAACATGTCCATGGTTAATTCGGAAAACTTGACTTGTTCTGAAGCGCTGCCCACTATGAGGATTTCTTGAAGGGTTAGGTTCATGTATTGAGATTTTTCCACCGGGGGAGTTGTTAGAGGACTTAATCTTGAACAAAAATAAATTGCTTCAGTATTTATACAGGGTGAAACATTATTTTTTTGTACGGTCGCCATTAAGACTGCAATTCATAAAGTTGCACTTAACAATTCATAGCCTGATTGCGTAGAAAATGGTTTATAAGACACAGGGCAAAGAATTTTTTTTCGCCTGAAGAAGATACAATTAAAGTATCGAAACGTCGCGCCGAATTTAATGTTTTATTTCCCTGTGTCCTATAAACCATTTTCTACGCAATCAGGCTATTATATTTTTCAAGGACTTTAAACACAAAATGGAGTACTTAACAATTCAGACTATTTTTTTTCATATTCTTGTTTTGCTTTTAAACTGTGTAGCATTGCCGTTTTTTCACTTTAGTTCTTCAAGAAAGTTGTACTTTTTTCAAAATTTAAATGACAACATTATTTCAATATCCACTACAAAATCGTTTACGTATAGCGTACTTATACTTCTAGCTCTTGAACCAAATACAAAATTTTTGCATTTTATTTTGTTTTAGAATATTCCTAACTAAAATTTTTCTAAATAATACATATTAGAATAATTTATATAAATAAATATTGAAATTTAATATATTTCGAGCCGCTTTATCGAACGCGAATTAAATATTAATTCAGGATTAATTTCCGTTGATTTTTGGAATTAATGGTTCTGTAAACTGGCCTTTAAACTTGTTATTTTACTGATTATATTTGTGTTATTTTCAATTTCAATACATAATTTCCTATTAGTCACTAAAAGCATTTTTTTTAGATAAGATGAAACTTCAACTTTTAAACATTAAATTTACCAAACATCGAGTCAGAAATCGAAAATATTGAATAGTCGTGAACAAAGTATAGTATTCTGGCTATTATTTAGTTAGATGATTACAAAACTCGAGTTGTACTCATTTTGTAAACTTTACCTTCATGAATAATAGCCATCGTTATACAGAGTGTTTTCTTAATATTTCAAAAAATTCCAGCTTTATAAGGTAATTAATAAATATGAAGCAATATTTGAACCTTAAGAATGGCTTATAAAATGATGTGAATTTTTTGTATCTATAAATATTTAAAAAGTTAAAATGAAAATACATGTTTTTTTGTTATGTATAGAGATTATCAGCTCAGATTACAAAATAATTTGTGCTAAAACGATAACAATGACATTATGGTTATATCGATATTTTTTAACGCTAGGATGCATAACGTGGTATTTTACCTGACTGTTTGTTTTCAATTTCTTTTTTATTTTTACTGATATTTTTTTTTAAGATTATAGTTATGCCTTCTTTATAATGTTTATAACATAATAGTTGAAGTTATATTTTACAAAGATTGGAATTTACAGAATAAACAAATATCTTGGAATTACACATAACGCGGATGTTTAAACCTATTCAACTTTGTGTGATTTTTAAGTCAATTTTAAGAGATATTTGCAAATTTATATCAAATGCACAAACAGACCAAACAGCAACACACCAGTAATAAAATAACAACCAAAACAAGAAACGCTGTATACAGGGTTATTCATAAATATGAACCAATATTTGAACCTCAAAAATGATGTTAAGTTTTTTTAAATAATAACTCGTGTCCTATCTCTACTGATAAGAATTTTACAGCTCTCAGAATGTGGGTATGAATTTTTTTTTTAAACTTTGTAAGCATTTGACCAAATATTATAAAATTTAGAACAGTTACTTGCGAGATCATATTACCAGTTGGTAATCACGAGAACCGGATAACATCTACTCTTTTTCAGGTTGCAGCAGTTGCGGGTCACATCTTCTTTGTTTTTCCGTTTTTTTGGTCTCTTAACAGTAATTTTTTATTGCTCAAATCGCTAGAGTAATCAATTTCAAATTGAAAAGCATAACCTTTTATACCACTAAATTTTTATTTTTTTTTATTAGTGTTATTCTTTGATTTAGAATATGTGGTTGTAATTTTCTGCAATATTATAAAAATACCCTGTATATACAAGGTGATTCACGAGGAATAATGAGCCTGACCAAATTTTCGATGCAACCACCATTACTTTTCGCAAGTTAATTTGCGATAACTGTAATGTTGGTTGCATCAAGAATTTGGTCAATCTCATTATTCCTCGTGAATCATCCTGTATGCTCGTTGAACAATACACATACTACATATTAAGATGAGTATAATTTTATAGTTTTAATTGAATAGTTAAGTATTTTATTTCAGCCTATTTTCGGTTTTCATTTTCATAAAAACTAGTTTTAAATTTTATTGTTTTAAATAATTTCTACTCTGATTGAATAATTTATTAATTAGAAATAATGAAATATAACAAGTTTACTCGGTTAGCAATGATGATAATTAGTAATTGTACATAAACCAAGTTTCATTTTTTTTAATTCATTCTCTAATCAAAATGAGTATAATTATCTCTTGAAAATAAATTATTGAATGATTGTAATTCATTTCTAAGTACAAATGGTACAGATGATAATGATAATAAAATTCCAAGTCTATTTGTAAAATACCAAAAATTATATTTTTTAATACATTTTGTGGTGATTTTAATAAAATGTTAAATTAACCTCTTAAAATGTAATTTCTGGTATTTTAACAAAGAAATTTTGTTAGAATTTTCGTCAAAAGCTATTCCAACCCGTTAAGAGACTGAATATGTCATTCAGTCGAAACATATACCTCAACAATTAAACAAAATCTAGTTTTTATGTACAAGTAGACTTTAAATTTTATTATCATTGATCATTATCATTAATTATTATTGTTTATTAAAAAAATAATGACTTGACTGGAGAACGAACCTTAGATTTTCTATTTGTGTGGTGAACTCTAATAAACATAAAATTTTTATTCACTCGTTTTTTACACTTTCAGAAAAATTGAAAAAAAAAACATAATTTTTTTTAGTTAAAATTTGTACTCACCGATGGGATAAAACGATGGGATTTGTGTCTGCATGTAAGACAGTGACTATCGAATCAGCAGTGATGAAATTTTTGATTTCATCTAAAACCAAACTCCATTCTATTTGATCGTCAGGTTCGTAGGTACTCGTGTAGTCAGCGATGTGTCGATCTAATTCTACTATAAGTTCTCTTACTAATTTCATTCGACGTAATAAAAGACAAACTACAATAAAACGTGCGTAATATCTCAGTTTCTTCACCATTAATTCTGATCTACAATGAAAAAAATTGACACGTTTTTGGAGAAATAATTTTTGGATACCAACCTATCTTCTTTAGCGGCTCTTGAATAGTAAGCACGTCCTCTGATAGCGGCATAGAATGAGTAAGCTTCGTTCAAATAATTAGTTTCGCTGGTTCTCAAACTAAAATTTGGAAAAAAAAATAATTGTTAAAGGTGTTGTTCCTTATTCTTACTAATAGTGGTAATAAAGTTGTCCAATTTTAGATGCGATCTCTCCGATTTGCCATCGCTTTAGCCCATACTTTGTATCTAAAATTTGACGGTGCTGCTGTTGAAATTTCCATAATTTTGTGTAGATGTCGAAAGTTCGTCCGAAATAAGCTTGCCATTGCTTGTGGCCGTACTGTGGCAAATCCCTGGAATAAAAACTAGTCATTTGTTGGCAAAAACTTGACTCTAGATTCACCGTAACCCGTTGAACAGTTGTTTGGACTTTTCCAAAAGATGACAAAACTCCATTACCACTTTTCGTTCGTGCTCGTCCATATTTGCCATACCGACCATGATTTCCTCGTTTCAGAGTGGCATGCTTTTAGTTTTGACCGGATTTCGCACTGGTGGAAAAGAACGACGGTCGTCGTCGAAAAATCGAACAGCAGACATCATGTACGACGCCAGCGCCGGGACGGCGAACGTCGCGTCAAAATCCAATCCGACATTTCAGCATTTTTTCAATTTCTCATAATTTTGCAAAAAAGGGCTGATTTTGTGGAAAATATTCATGTTATTATAATTTTGAGGCTGTTAAGGGGGCTCCGGTGGACTGCCATCTGTTGGGGTTTGGGTTTCGTGACCATGCTTGATAGAAAAATCAATAAACGCGCCGCAATTTATGCAAGGGGGTGAATTCTAGGAAATGTTAGATTGGGGCTGAACCAACCCTGTAATGAAATAGACACAGGATAGAGTCCTTCTTTTAGAATTTTTTTAACACATTTTTTCTAAGCAATTTCAAAAAAATATTTAGACAAATAATGAGTGAAATCTGTAAATTTTTAAATGCAACATAGAGAAAAAAATGTGAAAATGTGCTATACGTAAATGTAAATTTAAGTATAATCGTAAAACTAAAAAGTTTGGACGTAAGTTGTGTTTGAAAATGTCCCATTTATTTTTGCATTTTTATGAAATTTCTATT